TTTCTTGACTGCTGCTTCCATGAGTATTCATTGTGGATCCAGGTAAAATGAAATCCTTGACAACTTCAATATTTTCTCCGTTTATCATGATGTTGCTTATTGGTCCAGTTGTGAGGATTTTTGTTTTCTTTAGGTTGAGGTGTAATCCATACCAAAGTCTGTAGTCTTTGATCTTCATCAGTAAGTGCTTCAAGTCCTCTTCATTTTCAGCAAGCATGGTGTGTCGTCTGCATATTGCAGATGGTTAGTGAATCTCCTGATGCCACATTCTTTTTCATATCGTCCAGCTTCTCGGATTATTTGCTCAGCATACAGATTGAATAAGTATGGTGAAAGGATACAAACCTGACACACACCTTTCCTGACTTTAAACCAGCAGTATCTCCTTGTTCTGTTCGATTGACTGCATCTTGATCTGTGTACAGGTTCCTCATAAGCACAATTAAGTGTTCTGGAATTCCCATTCTTCGCCATATTAACCATAATTTGTTATGATCCACACAATGGAATGCTTTTGCATAGTCAGTAAAACACAGGTAAACATCTTTCTGGTATTCTCTGCTTTCAGCCATGATCCATTTGATATCGGCAATGATATCCCTTGTTCCAGATCCTCTTCAGAATCCAGCTTGAATTTCTGGCTGTTCCCTGTCCATGTACTGCTGCAGCCGACATTTAAGCTTAGATTTTGACAAATAATAAGTTACAGAGAATAAAGCAGTCGACAGGCTATGAAAAATTTGTTAACCCTTTCCTGAATGCCAAAGTTGTTGATGGTGTTATGGCATACCGTAGAAAAAGGAATTCATAAAATAAGTTAAAATGGCAGTTTAATTAGATTACCTGGTCTAACACTTAGATGCATTTTTACAGAAAACTATGACTGCCATTATGGAAATGGAAGGTTGTGACAAACTTACTATTAGATAAGAGAATGCTTAACTTTATAAGCCTGATATACTGATGTCCTTAGGGATCCTGAAGCAAAATTGTCTCTCTCGTCTCTCCCTCATTAGACGTACCCAGTAGACATGTCCTAATTAATACTGTGTCTTTAAGGATATATCTCCAAGCAGCCTTAACAAATCTTCTCCAGTTGAATTATTGTTTCCTTTTGAGATAATGAGTTGGAATCAACTCGACAGCAATGGGTTTGGTTTTTTTTTTGGTTTTGAGATAATTGTACATGTATTATGATATTTTCCTAGTTTGTTATAGTTCTCAGTTAAGTATGTATTTACCTTACTAGGTCACTGGATCCCTTTGAGAATGTTACAAAGGCCATGACTTCCTTTTCTGGAAAAATGTACATAGATGACACATACAGAAGTTTACATACAATTTCAGGGAGTTTATAAATTCCGTAAATCTCATTCATTGATCCCTAGGTTAACCTTACTAGATTGTGAGGTTGTAGAGGTCAGTACCATTTCTTTTTCATTTTCTATAGCACAAAATTCTTTGCAGAAGTAGGTACTCAAAAAGTGATGTTAGCACAAGGCTACTGATAAGCAAGTTAACTTTCCCCATTCTTTGTCTTGGAAGGCAAAGAGTATTGCATTGGATTAAAAAAAATTCTATTTTCTGTTTACATCATATAGCTAAAATAAAGTGACAGAAATCTTAGAATTAAAAGGATAGGGCAGATACAACAAAAGAAAGCAGTGCTTGCCTTTCGTTAATAGCATATTAAATAGAATTAAATACTATTAATACTAATTAAATACTATTCTCTGGGGACAAACATGGTCTTTTTTTAACTGATGAAATATAAAATCCACAATGACAGCATAACAGTCATGAACCTTTAGGCACCAAGTATCAAGACATATAAAGGTAAAATTTTAGAAAAATGAAGAGAAATGTTCAAAAAGTCCATAGTTGTAGTAGATTTTTGTCTACTTCTCTTAATTCTTGATAGATTAAATAGACAAGAATATACAGATATCCAATAAATAATTCCAAATTTCCTACACTGTTATTGAATGGAATTGTTGTCATGTCTATAAAACATTGAACTGGGAAGATGGTTTCATTATTGCCTAAGAAATTACCTTGAATAAGTTTAATCTGTTTAACTTGGTAAACACTTTAAAGTGGTTGGAAAATGCTTTCTGCAAATTGAGATTTATACTTTAAAGATAGTAAGAGTTTTGACAGATTGGTTCTCTTCTTTCTATGAAGAGATTTTTTTCCCATTATAATTTTTTACATTAATTCCTTTTTCTACTTTTACAGGGAATGGTAACATCTTATTGTCTTTGTCATCTAGTGCTGCTGCTCTAACAGAAATACCAGAAGTAGATGGCTTTTAACAAGAGAAATTTATTCTCTCAGAGTCCAGTAGGCTACAAGTCTAAATTCAGGGCATCAGCTCCAGGAGAAGGCTTTCCTTCTCTGTTGGCTCTGGAGGAAAGTCCTTGTGATGCATCAGTCTTCCTTTGGTCTGTGAGCATCTCAGCACAGGAACCTCAGGTCCAAAGGACGTGCTCTGCTCCCCGCACTGCTTTCCTGGTGGTGTGAGGTTCGCATGTGTCTCTGCTCGCTTCTCTCTTTCATATCTCAAAAGACATTGTATTAAGACACTATCTAACCTTGTAAACCTCATCAGTATAACCTCATCACAGTGATAGGATTTACAACACATAAGGAGATCACATATAACGTCATCATAGTGATGGAGTTTAGAACACATAAGGAAATCACATCAGATTACACAATCATACAATGCTGGGAATCATGACCCAGCCAAGTTGACAGATATTTTGGGGGGACACAGTTCAATCCATGACACTTAATGTATGTTATATATTTTTACATAAATAACGGACCTACTTAAATACATTAAAAATTTATTGGGCAAAATCACTTAGTAGGGATTTTAGAATACTGATTGTTGAAAAATTCAGGTGCTTGATGAGAATAGCAGATAGAGACATAGAACTGAATTGAAAACTATAATTATAAACCTAAAGTAGGATATAATTCTTTCATGTTATTTGAAATACTTTATTTTATTTTACTTTTTATTGTACTTTAGATGAAGGTTTACAGAGCAAACGAGCTTCTCATTAAACATTTAGTACATATATTCTTTTATGACCTTGGTTAACAACCCCATGACATGTCCGTACACTCCCTTCTTGACCTTGGGTTTCCTATTACCAGCTTCTCCATCCCCTCCTGCCTTCTAGTCCTTGCCCCTGGGCTGGTGTGCCCCTTTAGTCTCGTTTTGTGCTATGGGCCTCTCTAATCTTTGGCTAAAAAGTAAACCTCCGGAGTTACTTCATTACTGAGCTTAAACGGTATCCAGGGGCCATACTCTAGGGGTTTCTCCAGTCTCTGTCAGGCTAGTAAGTCTCGTCTTTTTTTGAGTTAGAATTTTGTTCTACGTTTTTCTCCAGCTCTGTCCAGGACTCTCTGTTGTGATATCTGTCAGAGCAGTCAGTGGTGGTAGCTGGACACCATCTAGTTGTACTGGACTCAGTCTGGTGGAGGCTGTGGTAGTTGTGGTCTGTTAGTCCTTTGGACTAATCTTTCCCTTGTGTCTTTAGTTTTCTTCATTTTCCCTTGCTCCTGAAGGGGTGAGACCAGTGTAGTATCTTAGCTGACCACTCACAGGCTTTTAAGACCCCAGACACTACTCACCAAAGTAGAATGTAGAATATTTCTTTTTAAACTGTGTTACGCCAATTCAGCTAGATGTTCCCCAAGACCATGGTCCCCACAGCCCTCAGCCCAGTAATTAGGTCCCTCAGGAAATTTGGATTTGTCCACGGAGCTTCCATGACCTTACCCTGAACAAGTTGTTCTGGCTTCCCCAGTATTGTGTACTGTCTTACCCAAGTTACCACTTATCCGTTGTCTATTTAGTATTTTCCACCCCTACCCCTCCCCTCCCTCATAACCATCAAAGATTGTTTCTTTTTGTGTGTAAACCTTTGTAGTCATGGTCTCATACAATATTTGTCCTTTTGTGATTGACTTATTTCACTCAGCGTAATACCCTCCAGATTCATCCGTGTTGTGAGATGCTTTGCAGATTCATCATTTTTCTTTATCATTATGTAGTACTCCATTGTGTGTAGGTACCATAGTTTGTTTATCCGTTCATCTGCTGATGGGCATCTAGGTTGTTTCCATCTTTTTGCTATCGTGAACAATGCTGCAGTGAACATGGGTGTGCATATGTCCGTTTGTGTGACTGCTCGTATTTCTCTAGGATATATTCCTAGGAGTGGGATTGCTGGATCATATGGTATTTCTGTTTCTAGCTTTCTGAGGAAGCACCATATTGTTTTACAAAATGGTTGTACCATTTTGCATTCCCACCAGCAGTGCATAAGAGTTCTAATCTCCATGCAGCCTCTCCAACATTTGTCATTTTCTGTTTTTTCGATTTGTGCCACTAATGCCGGGGTGAGATGGTATCTCATTGTAGTTTTGATTTGCATTTCTCTAATGGCTAATGATTGTGTCAGCTCCACATCTTGAAGGAAGGAGTATCAGAATTTGCATATATTTTAAAACCACCACATATGTTCAGCAGTTAAGCAAAGTAGAACACAAATTGAAATTACAATGATTACAGTAAGAACAGAAAATAAAGAATAGAATGGTTGTGTTAGGATTTTGAGAGCTGGGAAGAGTTTTTCTCCTTGTATTTTCCAAACTTTCTGTATTGCTGTTGTGTGACTTTTATAATGGAATATTTCCTCTATTTTCATAGGAAATTATGACTTTTATCATGAAGCAGTCTAGTCAGTATAACCAGATCATGATCTTTCTCTTTGAATCATGATATAATTTTTAATGGTTTTGTTATCCAGGGAAAAATAAAGTTATTGGATTATCAGTAACTCATGAGAGTATAAAGATAACCTTTTAGAGATGAGAAAATCCATTTTTGACTTTCATGAAGGGCAAGATAAGTCAGCATTTTCTTTACTAATCATATTCTAATATTGATGTTCATATAAATGCTGATGATGTGATTGTAGGTAAATTGGCAGGATGTGGAGCAGCAAATCAAAAGAGGTGCCTTTACCAAATCCAAGGAACTCTCTAAGCAAGGATACTGTTCAAGGTATGATTTTTTTTTTTAACTGAATTTAATCTCTTATTTAGATCACGTGTATTATGTGCTAGTCAATAAATGAAAATTGTACACATACTTTCATTTATAAAAAGTAGGTAAATAATTTAAAAAATTCAGTTTTGTTTTAAAATCCACAAGGGACTTCACTTTCAAAGACATCCTGTGGTAAACTGTTTTGTAAAGGAAGAATCCTTTTTTAAAGTGAACCAGTCTATGTAAAATTCTGACTTAATGTCAATGAATGGTGTAATACAGCTACTGATATAATTGTAGACCTGTGGTGCATAGATAACACAAGTAATGGTCTCATTGTACTCTTTGTTTAATTGTGATGTATTGAAGGTAACTTTAATATAGAGTGATTTTTTTGAGGAACATCAACAAACTGGAGTACACTTAAAGGAGGATTATTGAGTTTATGAGGGATCTGGAAATCAAGTCATATGAGGAATGTGTGAAGGGGATGAAAATATTTATCCTGGAGAAGGGAAATATGTGGCCTTATATATTATTTGAAAGGGCTGTTACCTGAAAGACTAAATAGATTTTACCTTTGTTTCTACTGGTAGATGGAAATCTGGAGTAGTTGTCTGATCTTTTCCACAATATCATAATGTGAAATACAATACAATGCAAAATTTTGTATTTGCTCAGCTCATTGGGGTAAACTGACAATACTCTTATTGTTGAAGGTGTCTGATGGAGGTGGGGGGGGGGCGACGATGTCCATCCACCTGTCCTTAGGGATAGTGGGATCAGTGTCTAATAGAACTGTAAACTGTATGTTGGGAAGCTCACTTTTATATAGGATAGGAGTTAGGGAGAGGAAGCGTATTTTGACCTGATCTAATAAAGCACTTGCTGAGAAATAGTTCTACCTGACAGAGTGGTTCTCAAACTTTTGAATGTGTTTGAATCACTTGGGGGGCTTTTAAAAATTATTTTATTGTGTTTTTCGTGAAAGTCTATAGATCAAATTAGGTTCTATATAGCAAATTAGGGAGGCTTATTAATAATGCAGATTCTGAGGTCCACTCAGAGATTCTGATTCTGTAAGTATCATTTTTTCCCAGCAGATATAACCACATCGTGGGATGCACTTTCTCAGAACAAGGCTGCTGTAAGTAGTTATACCTTCCACTTCATTTATTTCTGGTTTAAATTATTTCCTGTTATGATTGAATAGATTAAAATTTTTTCTATAGTGCTTTTTGATAGGAAAATAAAGTTAAACATTTTAGTAAGGAGTTATATACTGTATATTACAAAATGAACATCAGTGACAACTACTAAATAGTAAAGGAATAATCACAATACTACTTCACATATCACATGCGGACTAACACTATGGTAAATAAAATATTAAAATAATTAGTGCTGTTTATTCTCCTTTAATAAAATTGTTCATTTGATATTTTAAAATGAAGATTTAAAAGAAAGAATGAATTTGGGAAGGTGGGGCTATGTCTATGTAGAAGGTTCAGAGTCAGGGAGGAAATGAACAGCTTTTCCTTGAATGGACTATGAGTTACCCCTTCTTTTTTGTGGCGGTAAAAACCAAAGCCAAACCCGTTGCCGTCTAGCTGATTCTGACTTATAGTGACCCGATAGTGTAGAACTGCCCCATAAGTTTTCCAAAGCTGTAATCTTTAAGGAAGCTGGCTGCTACATCTTTCTCTGGCAAAGCAGCTGGTGGGTTCAAACCGCTAACCTTTTGGTTAGCAACTGAGTGCTTAACCATTGTGCCACCAGGGCTCCTTTGGTGGCAATAGCAGACTGTTCTCTCTCAAGACTACAGAAGAAGAATGACTGTGGGCAACCTGTTTGCATTTGTGTTCTGCTGAATCTTGTATGGAATTTAGGAATCCAAATTTGGCAAGTGATAGATAGTACCTTCAGAGGGAGACCCTTTTCTTTTTCATTGCTCTCTGGGCAAATGACTCTTCTTTTTTGTTTTCTTTTGTACTCTATCTGAATTTGAAGCCCCCATGTCTTTACTGTCTGAATGTTTTTAAGCTTTTTTCTGTTCCCTAGTCTTTAGAACTGTTTTGAAAATGAATCTGGAAAAGGTATAAGTGTGTGTGGGGAACCTGATACAGAACTCTTAATATATAAAAGATTATTCTAATTTTGTGAATATGCTGCACTACAAGAATCTGAAATAAGATGTCAAGATTTTACACAAAGTGTTTATGTGCTAGAATTTTGATGATTTTAATTTTATACTTTTTTCTGTTTTCCAAGTTTTCTGCTGTTAGCATGTAATACTCTATATTTTAAAATACTTTTAAAATTATTGAGAATATTGGTGGTTATACCAAAAGATGGCTTATATTGCAAAGTTTATATAAAACCTGAATTCTTGTTCTTATTGTGAAACTTACTGTATAGATATAAGACTGGAAAAAGTTATGACTGAATAGCTCTGTATTTTGGTCTTGTTGAATTATTCTTTCCTCATTTTTGCGTGTAAAATACACAAGATATATAGCATAATAGTATGCACCATGTAATTTAAGAAAATTTACTACATTAAAAAAACTCAACAAGTAAAAAAAAAAAATAGGTCAAATAGAAACTCTGATATTCTTCAGAATCTTTTTGATTTTCTTGTCCAAATTTAGACAACATATGCCAGCTATTATTATAGCTGATGTGATAAATTGTGAAAAAACTGCAAGTAAGAGTTTTTTCCACTTTGAAGAAAGGTATAAGGCAATATAGTTTTAAATAACCATGTAAATCAGTAGTAGCTGGATTATTTACAGAATTAACCTATGTGTTGTGATGGTTTTTAAACTTTAGCTGAGACACATTGAAAACAAATTAGAAGTAGCCCCTACAAGTACAGCTGTGTTTGATTCTGTCATGGATACCAAGAAATCTTCTGCAAATGCTACCAGAAAAATAAGCAGAAAAGGTATGTGTAAAGTTATTACTTCCCAAAGGTATAAGTGTATTGAATATAGATTTTTGATGTTTTATTTCAATTTAGTTTCTTCTTATAGTTACATCCGTTTGCTTACTTTTTTGTCAGAGACTATACCTCATCAGCTTTTAATTTTGTTTCTTTGATACTGAGTAGTTTTGAAGCAACCTCATATTCAGTGTCTATAGATGGTGTCTTCATACTTTTGATCAGGGGCGTTAGCACCAGTACATCACCTGTGACAGTGAGTTTTCATTTGTTTTTAGTGATGAGAATTTGATTTTGAGCCTTTTAAGTTATGTCTTTTGTTTTTTTTTAAATAGGTATATTATATCACATTGATAGTGAAATTTAGTTGACTTACAAAGTTTACTCTTTTTTATTGGACTTTAAAATCATAAATGGGATATCTATCTTATAGATACTATCATAAATTAACGTAATGCAAATATTTTCTTTGGTTGCCGCTCATATTTTTTCCTGTGGTTTCTTAATTGGTAAGCTGCCTGCATGTCAGTACTCTCTGCCTAAAGTGTATGTGTGTGTTTTTAACCTATGAGTCTGCTGGGTTTTGTCTGATACTTCTCTCTTAAGTTGTGAGAGCCATTGATAAAGAGGAATTTTATATGTAGAATTTTATTTTGTATTCCGTTTATTCAAAATACAGTCTTTCTCTGTACAATGAATTACTATGTTTTTTAAATTGTGGTAAATATATATGTAACAAAACGTTCAACAATCTTCACATGTATAGTTCAGTGACATTTAATTATATTCATCATGTTGTTTGAGTTATTGTAATAATTTAACCTAAATATTTTCCATCTGCTTACATAATATTCAACTAGAGATGCTAGAAATAAGACACCTAAGTTATCTTCTAAGAAGGTCTGATGGCACGTTGGTTAAGTGTCGGCTGCTAACTGAAAGGTCGGCGGTTGACCCACCAGCCGCTCCATGGGAGAAAAGACCTGATAATTTGCTCCTGTAAAGAATGCAGCCTAGGAAAACCCTATGGGACAGTTCTACTCTCATATAGTGTTGCTATGAATCAGCATCAACTCGGCAGCACACAATAAGAAGTTATTTTCTTAGATATTAGAAAAACCCAGAGACAGTTGTATTTTACATAATAGGTTATTATAGGGTCCTTTTTCCTTCAGATGGTAGATACCTGGATGATTCTTGGGTTAATGCTTCAACCTCCAAATCTTCTAAATCACGAAAAGAGAAATCTCGTAGTCCTCTGAGAGCTACCACTCTGGAGAGTAATGTGAAGAAAAATAATCGTGTGGAATTTCGTGATCCCTTGGTTTCTTATAGGTAAGTGTTAAAATATTGTTATCAAATAGGATTAGCCTGTAATAATTACAGTAAGATTATAATTTTTTTTTTCTGAGTTTTTCATAGCGTTCTGGCTCTGGTATTATTTATTACCTTTTTCATTCTCCACAAAAGATGTAGCAAAAAATCTTTCATATTATGAAATACTATCTTATGCTACTCTTACAGATTAAGTTTTTAGGGGGAAGAAATAGTGACATTTGCCCTAGGCCACCATCATTGTAATAAGTATGTTTCTTAGAGACAAAGTATTCAGTCTCTGAAAGTGTGGCTGTTTTTTCCCCTAAATATCTCAGATTGAATATTCTACATAATGAAGTTCATATAGGTTAGTTTTCTTTTTTTTTGGTAGCATTAATCTGTTATCTAAAATTTCTATCCTGTTAAGACGGTGACTTACGTTATTGTTTTAATTTGTTGCCAGTGGCTCCTTTCATGAGCTTACTGAGTCCGATGTTCAAGATTCATGTATGATTTTGGTTTGATAGTATAGATAATATGAAGTGCTTCACGTTTTTGTGAACTGATAGTTAAGGATATTCAACTGATAAAACTATAGCATTTTGTAATTTGAGGAACACTTTGCCAATGATTTAAATGTGTAAATGTTCTTAGCATGACATGGTAATGAGTAGTAAACACTGGACTTTATATATCTTTATAAGCATTTTCAGTGTTTTAAAATGTCAATAAATCAAGGAGTTTTGTGATGGTGCTTAGTAATATTAGGAAAATGTTTGTCCTCTTAAATTTGAGACGAACTTGGAAGGTGGAGATGAATTATGAGTTCAGTTTTCAATATGTTGCATTTGATGCAATTTTGAAATATCTAGGTGAAAATATTCACTAGACATTTGACAAATTGGGTAAGAATGTGTGTAGGAAGGTCAAGGAAGGGGATATAAATTTGGGATTTGTCAATAGTATTGAAGCAAGAAACATGGCATTAAAAAAAAAAAAAGTAAAGAGAAGAAAAGCCTGGGTACATAATCTGGGTAAAAGTTCATTGTTTAGAAAAAGGAGAAGAGAAATAATCAGAATGATCAGAGTTCAGAATCTCTAACCACACAGTTATTAAGCAGTTGCTTAGAAACATAATCACTACAGAATTGGAACTGATTTACTAACTCCTTATTTATAATATTCTACCTGCATAAAATACTACTTGATATTTAAAATTGTATAAATTATGTATATTTTAGGAAAACAAAAAGAAATATCCATAGGGTAACAATGAATGGAATGCCCTTCTCCACCTGGTAGGCTCCATTCATCACTTAAAGCTCATATATTTATCATCTTCTGTATGAAACATTGCCAGATCTGTTCTTATTCCACCCCATTCTTAGCCTAGTTAATCTTTTCTCTGTGCTCCCTTAATGCTATGTAAAGTCTGTTAGTATAGCATTTTTACATCGCTTTGTAATATTTTTATTACATATCTGCCTATTAGGAGCCTTGGTGGTGCAGTGGTTAAAGCACTCGGCTGCTCACTGAAAGGTCGGCAGTTCGAATCCACCAGCTGCTCCTCGGGAGAAAGATGCGTCAGTCTGCTTCCATAAAGATTACAGCCTTGGAAACCCTCTGGAGCAGTTCTACTCTGTCCTGTAGGGTTGCTAGGAGTTGGAATCAATTCAACAGCAGTGGGTTTGGTTTTTGGTTTGGTATATGCTCATTACACTAGTCTGTATAAGGGCATGCTTCTATCTTATCCTCAGCATTAGCTTAACGCCTGGCATTTACAAAGTATTCAGTAAATATTTTTTCCCAACATTTTATTATGAAAAAATTCAGATTACAGAAGAATTGGAAAAATTGTATGGTGAAGACCATTGTAAACATGCAGTAATGTGTGAGTGAAAGACTTTGTGAAATTACTTTCTTTTTTTGTCAATTGTTCTTCTCTTTTTAAGACTAAGGTATGATATGTGACCTACTATTTTATGCTTTATTTATTGTATTCTCTGCATGTGCTTATTTTAGACTTAAAATCATTTTAATTGAGAATTCTTGCATTCTGGTCAAGATAGTGAAAATAATCTCCTTAAGTCTTGGTCTTTAATGTTATTCTACAGGACTCAGTTCTTAACCTCATCTTGTTCAATGATCAACAACTCAGAACAGGGTCTCAGTCTTTTTGGGTCTTGAACCTCAATGAGAGTCTGATAAAAGCTATAAACTGTCTCCTTAGAAAAACTGCACATGCTCACACATTCACAATAGACATAGCTACCATGTCATGCTCTAATAGAGTCATGGCTTTAAGAATTTTTTTCTTTTTTTTTAGTATTTAGAGTTTGTACCTTTATGTGAAATAGGCTGTTGTAGATCATGCTATCCAATAGAAATGTAATGCGAACCATTAATGCAAGCTAGTATGTAATTTGGACATTTTTAGTAGCGCATTAAAAAAGTAAAAAGAAATAAGTAGAATTGATTTTAATAATGTATTTTATTTAACGTAATATTTATTCAAAATGTTATTTCAATATATAAAAATTATTAATAATGCATTTTACATTATATTTTTGTCCTGCCTTTGGAATCCTGTGTATAATTCACATTATACTATATCTCAATTTGGACTAGCCACATTCTGAGTGCTCAATAGCCATGTGTGGCTAATGGCTACTGTTTCAAACAGTGCTGGTCCAGATTGCTGTTATGTTTGCTTTTATAATATTGTTGGGTATTTTTTCATGAATTACGTGTTTTCTTACTGCTGAGTCTTATTTGTCTTCACTAACCTCCCTCTGTTCCTAAAATAAGGAGCCTTGGTGGTGCAGTGGTTAAAGCACTCTACTGCTAACTGAAAGGTCAGCAGTTCGACCCCACCAGCTACTCCACGGGAGAAAGATGATGCAGTCTACTTCCGTAAAGATTTACAGCCTTGGAAACCCTGTGGGGCAGTTCTTCTCTGTCCTGTAGGGTCGCTGTGAGTTGAAGTTGACTCAATGGCAATGAGTTTTTGTGTTCCTAAAATAAAGCTTATTAGAATGGTGTGTAAAATAAAAATAAATAGGCTCTGAAGGAAGGCTTTGCTAGTGTTTTCATGAATAGAGAATGTGGACTTTGTGATGTATGCTTTGACCATGTCCAGTCTTCTTTCTTACTCCTGAGTTTCTGGATGTGCTTTACATAGTTTGAAGCTGCCAAAAAGTGCCCTGTGGTTGAGAGGTTTAACTTCACTAACCACATTGATTTGGAGTAATATGTTTATCGTATCTTCATTTTATTTCTACCCCAAATCTATTTGTTACTTTGGTATGTTATTTAGAAGTTACACATATGAGATGCCAGTTTTTGAGAACATTTTCCCTGGTACTTAAGATTTCATAAAGGAATAAAATATACATTTTGGTAATAGATGTCAAGTGAGTATCCAAACTCAGATTATAATCCTATTTTATGGGGTCCTTAAGGAAATTTCTCTACACATCATTTGCATATTTCTTATTTTAAAATATGCACATTATTAGATTATTTACCATCTAACTTGATAGGGGACATTGAGCATTGAGTGTTAATACTGGTAATGGTTATTTGATTATTTTTAACCTATGAAATTTCTAGGTATATAACATCAGTGGTTGTTTTAGTTTCTGATATTAACTCAGAGTTCTCCATTCAGTTTGTATGACTGATTTCAGCTTGATTGGTTTTTGTACTCTTTTTATTCAAAGCATTTTTTTTTATAATAGGGAAATCCATGGTGTACCTTCTAATTTAAGTTCCAACCATCTGGAGTCAAAGCTTATATATTGTGTGGATGCTAATGAAGAAAAGACTGAGAGTGGGAACCGAATGATACGCGATCGAGAAGAACAGAATATGTGTTGCTGTGATTTTGAGAGCTCCCAATCATCTGTCATAAATGATACAGTTGTTAGGTTTTTAAATGATAGGCCGGCAATCGATGCATTGCAAAATTCTGAATGTTTGATTAAGATGGCAGCTCCTTTGAGAACTGAGGAAGAAAAGCCTAATAGATCAAAAGGAAGTGAGAATAATTTGAAGGCTTCTGTGAGTAATATGAGCCATGAAGTTGATCCAAAAGTATTACGGCTAACTGACTCTTCCCCGTCCTCTACTAGTACTTCCAGTTCCCAAAGATTAGATATTTTAAAGCGGCGACAACATGATACCAAACTGGAAAAACTCAAGGAGCGGATTAGGAAACAGTGGGAACACTCAGAAGAAACAAATGGCCAGGGCCAGAATCTGGGTCATAGCGACCATCCGGTAGTGGTTGTCAATGTTGACAGCTCAGTCACAGCAAAAGTCAGGAAAGTGGCAACAGCACCACCTGCTCCAGCATATAAAGGTTTGTAATCAGTCTTAGTATTTTTCTCTCTCTTACCTCCTTGCTCCCCTTTCTTCTTAAGATGTGTTTGACTAGAGAGGTAATCTTTAAATTCTCAAATCTACTGCATAATAAATTACTTAAGGGTATACATGTTAAAAATGAAGATTCATAGATTGTACACTGGACCTAAGTCAGAATTTTTGGGATGTGGGGTCCAGAGTTGGAATTTCTAACAAGTTTTCCAGGGGATTCTTAAAGTTCTGGAACCACTAGATGAACTTTTAATAAGTTGAATAAAATGAGAAAATAAAAGTTAATACCATTTGCAAAGAACTGAAAGAATATTCCCCTTATATCTTGTCATTGTATTTGGATTGTTAATAGGAATACTTTTAAGAGTCATTTTTAAGAGATAATTCAGTCAATTCCTAGTGATTATTTGGGTACAGAATATTTTGGCACTGACATCTTGATCCTGTTGCTGTTTTGACTGTTGAGTTTTGACGCCAAGGGTTCCCCACTCATGTTTAAGAAAACAAATATTTAAATCAGATTTATACCAACATTGACAAATTTTCATTGAGAAAATGCTTTCCAGAGCTACATTTCTTTTTTTGTAAATTCAGATTTTTAGATATGATGGTTTTAAGGAGTTTGTAGTTTTTCTATTTTTATTTTTATGTTCCTGAAATTATTTTCACAGGGTCAACCATGTAAAGTTTTCAATGAGGAGTTGATTAATTGATCGGTTTTAGTCCATGTTAGACTTTTGTCGTTAAAACTTCTGCCATTGTAGCCTTTCTTTTGTGGACATTTCCTCCAAGTTCAATTTCTCTCGATAAACTTAATGCAGATTCAAATTTTGTCAAGCTCTGTTTCTTGAGTCAGTTTTAAGTCACTAACAAAGTAAGCACAGTGTTTGCTAGAGTCAATTTTGTTTCGTGTTATTCTACCAAAAAATTTTTTTTTTCTGCTCAGTTTTTGCAGTTTTTGATATTTCTAAGATATCTTTAGTTATGTTTTTCTCTAAAGCAGATCTTACTATGTACCATTTTAGCAATTACATTTCATTTTGTGTTGCTTATTATGTTTTGCTAGTGATGGTTATTGTGAATTAGATAAGAGATGGATAATTTGCATTTCATTCTAGCTATTCTGTGACAATATTGTGAGCAGTTCCCTTTAGAATACTGAAGAATTGCTCTGTAGTCCAGAATTGTTCAATGTATTATTAATAAAATCTTTCATATCCTTCTAGTCATTTGTGTACCATATGATAATGGTCTACACTGTTGGCAGAGCAAATAGCAAATGGTGGGGTCAGAATGTTCGTGTTGGTTCTAAGATAGTGTTTATCCAAAACCTTTGCTATACATGTGTCAGATCTGTTAAATGCAGATTATACATTTAAGATTGTTCATTCCACAAGTCAAAGTTCTGAAATAGCTTATTCCACTAAGGCAGAGTTAAGATGGTTGATTTGAATTCATATTTTATTTAAGAAGTATCAAAAACCTAAAAGTAAAAAACAAACTAAGGAACGAAAGTAAAAATCTTAAATATAACTTTCTTACACTTATAACTGGATTTTGCATATTCCTTTACTAATTTTTTAACCTGTTAGTATTCATATTAAAATACTCTACAAATACAGCTTTTGGGGGATTAATTTATTAAATGTAGCATACATTTTAGAAATCATTACAGAATATATGTTTTCCAGTATCCTAAGCAATAGATTTATTTTTTTCTACAGTAGCGAACTGTTTTCCTGTCAACTTGTTGACAGTGTAAACTGAAAGCATCTTAATGTACGGTATTGTAAAATAACATTTTAATTTGTTCTGAATAGGTGACAAATTCACGTGGTCCACAGTTCAAAAGATAAAAAAGATTATACCTTGAAAAGTGTCTGTCACTCTTGTGTTTCAACCACGTGGTCCCCTTTCTGGCGGTTGCTTGTGTTAACAATTTGTGTATCCTTCTAGAGATCTTTTTTTACAGACACAAACAAGTAAAAGTGTGTGTTTGTATGTATTTATTTTCATCCTCTTCTTGTACAGTTGTTAGCATATTAAACAGCACTATTCTGCACCTTGGTTTCTGATTGATGTTTTATGTCTTTTTTTTTAAAGGAGTCATAGGAAGTATATTCTATTATTATGTTTTAAAATTTAAAGTGGTAAGCACGAATGGTGTTTATGTGTTTCTTTCTTGTATTATGGTTAGTTGCTATTTTGGCCAGCCTTATTTTATCTCAGAGCCTAGTACAGTGTCCTGGACATAAGTAGGTGCACAGTAAATTTTTTACTCTATTGAGTAAATTCAACCAGTAGTTAAAAAAAAAAAAAGAAAAAGAAGAGAAAATAAAGGCCTGAGGATAGACAAAGAAACTGATGCAGATATTGAAAGCGTCTTAAAGTTAACTTACAAGTAAAGGTGCAAGTACAGAGAAAGACTTCTATAAGAGAAAAATGTTCTCTAAAGAGCAAAGGAGAAAAAAAAGCATAGAATCAAATGTAGAGAAATGGGATGAAGGTGATGGTGAAGAGAAAAAAGAGATTTGCATGAAATTGTCACACTTTCTTGTGGTGAACTATATTTTGCAATAGACTGAAGACTGTGCTTGTATTTTTTTCTTAAATAGTTACAGTCATAATTATGTGCCCTTTGCCACAAATGTCAGGTGAAATTAAGTGGTGCAGTGGTTAAGTGTTTGCCTGCTAACCAAAAGGTCAGCAGTTCGAATCTACCAGCTGCTCCTTGGAAATCCTGTGGGGCAGTTCTGTTGTGACTTACAGGGTCGCTATGAGTTGGAGTCAACTCGAAGGTAATGGGTTTTAGTGCCTAAGGGTGGACTAGATTATTTTCTATTAGACATGGTAATTAATTTACCAGTACATTTCATCTAACACCTCTGAAGTACTTTCATCGTTTTTTGACTCTATCCTATTCTTTACATTGATTTAATTCTACAAATATTTACTGGTTACCAATTCTTTGCAAGGTAGCCTGGATGATACTCATGAATTAATATGGGTTCCGTCCCTGAAATAACTTTAAATGTGGGAAGGGTGGTAGTAAATATAAGGTGATGAGTGCTTTGGAAGAGGCAAGTTAATAGTGCTATGAGAGGATAAAAGGGAGAAAGATGAATAATTTTAATTAGTGATGGAATCAGTATAATATGAAGCCAGATATTCAGAATTTATTCATTTTTGTTGCCTTGTTTTAAAAAATATTATAAAATTATATTTATTACAAAGCACTTTACTATTTTAAAGTTAATTATTTGTCCTGAAGCCCCCATGTTTATGTGTATGATATTGTTTCATAAATTGAGCCCATCTTAAAATATAATTATATTTTATATATGATCAATATTTATTATTTTATTATCTTGCAGAATAACATTTAGAGAGTAGTAGTAACTTTGAAATGATAAATCTGAATGATAATTCCTGGGAAATGGGACATGTGTGATGTTTCTTGAGAAATTGAACAAATGTGTTTTAAAGACCTGTTTTCCACACTTGAGGCACGTTTTGCCTGAGTAGACAACAGTTTGTCCGTTTGTACAGCCATAGGCAAAAACAGACAGATGGTGGCATTAACACTTGTCTTCAAAGAAAAGAAGAATGAGAGTGTAGTTACTCTCTTAATGTTGAGAAGGGTAGTTTGTCTCTTTGAAATCCGTGATTTATGATTGACATTCCTTTATAGTGCTTCTCCCTTTTAGTCTTTTAGAATAAATGTTTATTGCTTTACCTCACAGAAGCTTACTTTTTCCAAACAATATTTGTCAGCACATTATGTGGTAGCTAATTATACATTCCTTTTTTAAAAAACTTATAAACCTGCTCAAAATCATTAGTCATTAGGGGAATGCAAATCAAAACCACAGTGAGTTATCACTTCACATCAGCTAGGGTGGCTATAATAAAAAAGGCAGGCAATAACAAGTTTTGGCTAGGATCTGGAGACGTTGGAGCCCTCATACGTTGCTAGTGAGAATGTAAAATGGTACAACCACTTTGGAAAAAGTCTAGCAGTTCCTCAAAAAGATAGACAGAATTACTGTATGATGTAACAGTTTCATTCATAGGTTTATACCCAAGGGAATTGAAAACATATGTCCACACAAAAACTTACACTCAAGTGTTTATAACAGTATTATTCAAAATAGCCAAAAAGCAGAATCAACCCAAATGTCCATCAGCTGATGAACGGATAAACAAAATGTGATATATTCATACAATGGAATAATATTCAGCCATAAAAAGGAATGAAGCACTGCTACATGCTACAACATGGATGAACCTTGACAATAATATGTTAAGTGAAAGAAGCCAGACATAGAAGGCCATAGATTGTATGATTTCGTTTATATAAAATGTTAAGAATAGGCATATACACAGAGAAAGTAGATTAGTGGTTGTCAGGGGCTGGAGGCAGGTGGGAGTGACTGATAGGGTCTGGAATTAGGTACTGGTGATAATTATACAACTTTGTGTATATACTAAAAACCACTGAATTATACATTTTAAAGGGGTGAATTTTCTGGTTTGTTAATTAAATCTCAAGTTAAAAAAAAAGGGTAACAAATAAAACTTATAAAGCAATTTTGGTAAGAATATTCTGTGTTGTTGGTATATATTAGGCTTCAACCCTTCAGAAACCAAGATTCGAACCCCTGATGGGAAAATATGGCAGGAGGCTGAGTTTCAAAACATGAGTAGAGAACTGTATCGAGACTTAGCACTACACTTTGCAGGTGAGAGTGGAGCTTTCTTATGTTTTGAGTGTTTTATTATCCATTCCGTCTAATTTATAATGTTTAAATATAAAATTGTCACAAAACTAAAAATATTTCCCTTTTCTAACTGAATGGTATACTAAAGCAGTAATGGTTTCAGTCATAAGGCTCTGTGAGCCACGTCGTCTAGGCTCTGCTCCGGTATTAAAATTAGCCTATATGGCTGATGAGACAGACATCAGGCTATTTTTAAACTGGGATACTTTCAGAGTCAGGCCTGTCTGATTTGGAGACAAGTCTAGTGGTCAGTAATTTGGCAGGCTGCAGTTAATATATTAACATGAGGGCAAGATGCAGGAAGAAAAACGGGTGTTACAGGAAGGGAATAATGTTAGAGAATTGGAAATAGGAGGAACCTATGGAAAATAGGAAGAGTGAAATGAAAGATCATCATGATAATGATTCACTACTTACTGCGTACTTCGTATGATTTTGGGCAAGATGCTGGGTGCTTAATCTTGTGCATCTTTTACAGTTGAAGAGAAGAGTAATTTGCCCAGGGTTATATAGAGTAGTTACGAATTGAAGCCAAGATTCAAAGCCACGTCTATCTGATTCTAAAGCCTGAGATCTTTCTAGTAAGCCCTTATAGAGATTCTGCTAATACATTTTTTGGTCATTAAATGTCCAGTCTAGTTTTATTGCAACACTATTCAGAAAATTTATTCTCGTGGCGAGGATGCAAAATGTAATAATAAGAACAAATACTTTGGAATCATCTTGCAGGAGTTCATATTCTGGCTCTGCCACTTATTAGCTGTGTGTACTAGCTGTATTACATAACTTCTCTTCCTTGATTTTCTCATCTGTAAAATGGGGATAGTAACAATAATACCTCAGAGGATAGTATCATTACAGACTAGTAGAATGAGATACGTGAAAGAATTCTTAAAGAGATCTACTTGTTATATTCCGCCTTCTTTCTTGTTACGGTAGGTGGACTGTCTGTGCTGCTAGCTAAGACCAGCCCCTGTTAGATGCCACTTAGATGTTTAGATTCCATTTGCTCTTGTATATTTAAGGGCATTAGGTCAGCACTTATTTCCTTTCTTTTGCATCATCAAGTTTTCCCTCTCTACCAGGTTATGCCCATCAACATACTGTTGACAGCATGCTGTTATCTCATCCATCATAGAAGAACCCCTGTTTTGGCCCTGTTTCTCCCTCCAGTTGTTTCTCCCTTTGCTTACAGCAGAATTACAGAAAATTGCCTTAATTGTTTTCAAGTATTTTCCCCCTTTTCTTGAATTCTTCCTATTAAGTTTTTGCCCGTATTTCTCCCTGGACTGCTGTTACCAAGATCATCAATGACTTCCACATTGCTAAATCCAAATTTTAATTTTCAGTTGTTGTCTTACTTGATCTCTCAGTAGCATTTGACATGATGGGTCAATTCTTCTTGAACGTCATCACTTGATATCTTGTTGTTAGTTGTTGAGTTGGCTATACCTCATATATAACAGAATGAAATGTTGCCTAGTCCTGTGTCATCTCTATGATCTCTGATATGTTTGAGCCCATTGTTGAGGCTGTTGTGTCAATCCGTCTATCTCATTGAGGGTTTTCCTTGTTTTCGCTGACCCTCTACTTAACCGGGTATGATGTCCTTTTCTAGTGATTGGTCTTGCCTGATATGTCATAAGTGAGCAAGACAGTGTCTCACCATCCCTGCTTCTAGGGAGCATTCAGTTGTATTTCTTTTAAGACATCTTTCCTTTTTAGAACTTTAAAGAGGTCTTTTGCAGTGATTTTATCTAATGCAGTATGCCATTTGATTTCTTGACTGCTGCTTCCATGGGCATTGATTGTTGATCCAAGTAGGTTGAAATCCTTAACAACTTCAAAATTTTCACCACTTACCATAATGTTGACTGTTGGTCCAGTTGTGAGGCTTTTTGTTTGCTTTACGTTCAGGGTAATCCATACTGAAGGGTGTGGTCTTTGACCTTCATCAGTAGGTGCTTCAAGTCATCTTCACTTTCAGCAAGCAAGCTTGTGTTATTGCATATTGCAGATGGTTAATAAGTCTTCCCTCAGTCCGGATGCCACGTTCTTCTTATATCTCCTTCCATCCCCGTTGCCATCAAGTTGATTCCAATTCATAGCGGCTCTATAGGACAGAGTAGAACTCTCCCATAGGGTTTCCTAGGCTGTAATCTTTTTGTTTTTCTTTGTTCCCAATACAAAAATTTATACATACATTGTTATGTGACTCTAATTGCTCTCCCCGTACTGTGACAGCACACTCCTCCTTTCCACCCCTGATTCCCCATGTC